GCTCTAGATACCGTTGTTTTACCACAATGCGAGAAACCTACATGCAGATTCTTCATTATTTAACTTCTTTAAATATTATAGAGTATTATACATATAGTTTTACAGTATAATACGGATAATATTTGGAGAAAACAATCTGAAAAGTGAATCGGACATTTACAGTAAACCAACGCAAAATGCCAAAACGAAAATAATAGTCCTTGAGGGCAAATTGCCCCATTGGACTACAAAGCTCTTGGTATATCCTTACGTAAAGACATGAATCTTATTTCAACAATTAATTTATTATACAACACTTCCTGAATTTAGAAATTTTGTGATTTTAAATCTACTTTATGTTACTTATTTTTAGATATTGTGATCTTTGGTATAATGTTCTATAATATGTTACAATAAGGAGATAATCCTCCCATAATAATGTGGAAGGATTACTCTTTGTTACAGAATTCAAGTTTTCTGTAACACAGAGTTACTTGCAGATGTATTTAAATAAAATAACATCGTATTTAGGTAATTGGTGTAGCAGCAGGCAAAATTCACCATTTTATGAGACTGCGATATTAAATTTTAAGTACCTTCGCTATCCAGGCAAAAAGAAACAAATTATATTCCGGACGCTACAAGCTACCGTAGAATGTTCCTAAACACAAAATTTAGTTTGAAAAATATCGAACCGACCCAAAATGGAAAACTGTATTCTTCAAGATGAAGAATTCCAGGAAATTATAAATTTAACAGTCTCAAAATGCAATTTTAGCAACTAGCAACTACTCACTCTAGAGTTCATCTCGAAGTTTCATCTAATTGTAATACTTGTGCTCCACAATTAATTAATGCATAATAAATCGGTTCCCGTAATTGATGGATACATACTCTAAAAACATTTTTATTAGCCCAGAAGGGCTATTAATTTCGTTTTGGCATTTTGCGTTGAAAACTTTAAATATCGGTTTACTTTTCAAACTAAATTTTTGTGTTTAGGAACATTCTACGGTAGCTGTAGCGTCCGGAATATAATTTGTTTCTCTTTTGCCTGGATAGCGAAGGTACTTAAATTTAATATCGCAGTCTCATAAAATGGTGAATTTTGCCTGCTGCTACACCAATTACCTAAATACGATGTTATTTTATTTAAATACATCTGCAAGTAACTCTGTGTTACAGAAAACTTGAATTCTGTAACAAAGAGTAATCCTTCCACATTATTATGGGAGGATTATCTCCTTATTGTAACATATTATAGAACATTATACCAAAGATCACAATATCTAAAAATAAGTAACATAAAGTAGATTTAAAATCACAAAATTTCTAAATTCAGGAAGTGTTGTATAATAAATAATTGTTGAAATAAGATTCATGTCTTTACGTAAGGATATACCAAGAGCTTTGTAGTCCAATGGGGCAATTTGCCCTCAAGGACTATTATTTTCGTTTTGGCATTTTGCGTTGGTTTACTGTAAATGTCCGATTCACTTTTCAGATTGTTTTCTCCAAATATTATCCGTATTATACTGTAAAACTATATGTATAATACTCTATAATATTTAAAGAAGTTAAATAATGAAGAATCTGCATGTAGGTTTCTCGCATTGTGGTAAAACAACGGTATCTAGAGCCATCCAATTTTGAATAACGTACGTTTCCACCTGAATATGGGCATCTGGAAGCCCAAATTTGGAATTTGTTTTATTATCTTTTTCATATTTTGCAAAACTTGAACGAATTTTTGATTAACAAACTCAACGATTTCAAAGCGAGTAATGGCAATACTCGACGGAGTGGGGGGGGGGTGGACCTTTTTATCTCCAGCGCGCTGAACTGTGTATCTGAAATTCTAAAGATATGCTAATTTTAAAATTGTTTTGCGACATTGGTGTTGAACTGAATTTTATGGTTTAAGTGCAAAGAACATGAGATTTAATAAATAAAGGTTAAACAAAAGCCCCTTTGGACGTAATATAAAATCTGAAACCTTTCAGATTTTTAGTCCAAAGGGGCTTTGTCCCTGAAGGACTATTTTTTTTTTTTTTTTTTTTGTTTATATATATGTGGTTTTAACGTCGATTCCAACTAATGTGATAAATAAATACTTTTGCATAATGAATATATGTTCAAATTAACACAAATGCTTTATTTTGTATCAACATAAAAAAAATGTAACTTAACTGACTATAACATCTTCCGAATTCTAAATTCTTGCTTTTGCAATTTCAAAATGTTATTCTTTAAAAAAATGTGCAATGTTGCTATTCATTCTCTAATGAGTAGTTTAACACTTTATTATTCCTACTCATTGAAATAAACTTTCACTCTTTTCAGTTACAGTAAAACAAAATGGATTCTCTCTTTTCAGTTACAGTAAAACAAAAACTCTTAAACTTTCACTTCACGACTTTATAACATTTATTTTTTTTTCATACTTCATATGCTGTATATTGAGTAGCGTGATTTCTGTTCTGTTAAATATTTATTTTACTAAATGCTAATACTGTAAACTAACTATTAAATTACCTTTTATAGTAAAAAGCAGAGAAGTGCACCGCAATTTTAAAATCAATCCATACAGGAATTAGAAGTTGCTCATTTCTTCTAAAATTTATAGGCATATTCATTAAATAATATCGTTCAAGAACTACTTAAAATATATAATTACATTTTACTGCAGAATCACTTTCCAAATACATTGGAAGAATTCCATAAAACTTTGCAAACAACCAATCAAATTATTCATTCGATTTCTGTCTGAATGTATTTTCCATGTCGCCTTTTGAATCCATATCGAACGATTACGATGATGTATGACACGTAATCGGGATCTTGATTGACACGCACGTCTCGCACTTGCGTTTATCGTGGACTACTGTCCACCTGTTTGCATCAAAAAGCACGAAAATATTCGAGACTTGCGCATCATTATGATCTTCTCGTTACGAATCCTTCCCAAGAACATCTCTAAAAACATGCGAAATTAATAAAAAATGAGACTGCTTTACTGCGACATTATAACCTCGTTAGCAAGTCATATACTTCCCCAAGAATCAATTTTGTTTATTTTATTCATGTAAACTAAAATAAAAAGAAAGTTGAAAAGCCCTTTAAGTTTTTTTCCCTTCATAAAATTATTTTTTATTTATTTATTTCTCTGACGTAAGGTCTTAAATTGTTTATTTGGCACGAATACTATTAGAACTGATATTTAGTCTTTTCACTGTGCAGACGATCTAAGAGTGGGTTCTTTTTAACTAATGCGTAAGCGTTTTGGAACATGAAGTTCTTCAAGAATGAAATTTCTTAAGCCGCATTTTTTAGTCGTTTTTCTCTCCTTGAGATTAAATATAGTTAAAAAGTCATTTACTGTGCATTTCAATTTATTAACCGTGTTTTATCGTTCGAGCAACTGTATTTAGATTTCTGTAAGCAAATATGTACGACACAGGTAAGCATATAACATCTGTTTCAGAGCCTCTACAGACTTGTGCACTATCTCTACGAGTTTAAAAAAACAATTAACTAATTAATATGTTAAGTCTTTTTTAATATCGATTTAATATACAGCGTGTCCACAAAAGTTCTTATTCAGTCTTTATTTTCGCCCGCTGTTCGTAGACATATTATTCCAGTAACAAAAGTGTTTTAAATAATGCAAATATTCATGTTTTGGCATTTTTAAATTTCTGTCAGTCAGTTTTTATGAAGATTATAAGTTTAGCTTCTTATATAATACTCCAGTCCATATATTTTAGGGAAATTTTACAACTATTAGAAAACTAAAACGGAAAAGATTTGATTCTAATACGATGAAAATTAAGTGAACTGTTTAATTTCAATATTTGGGAAATTTTACTTCATTTCCAAATCGCCTTTAAGAGTCGGTTAAGAAACAAATTAGAATACCTGGAGTTTGATTTTTTTTTTCATTAAATGCCATTCAGTGATATTCTTCTGTGATTTACGAATGTGTAACATTTATTCATTTATAACTGGTTACAAGTGGTATTTGGAAAGAACATTCGCACAAGTAATTTATAATTTTTTCAAACGCTGAAAGCACATTCCAATGGCTCACATTTGTTTTCAGTCTCTTGTGTTTTCCAATTTTATTTGCAGATGTCGATTATTAAATACTAGCCAAATAACTTTATTTTTTTCACGTATACTATTAATCACCATTTTTAAAATTTGGTTGTTTTGGAAAAGCATTCAAAGCATTTTTTTTTGGGGGGGGAACACTTATTTAAATCGTTTTGAAAATGAACTCGCATAAGTATTCAGACTCTTTGAATGCACTTTATGCTTAAAAAACATAAAAATAATGGGATATTCAATATTTTGTTGGATATCCTTTAGCTAGAATTAGACTTAAATAAATGAATAAATGTTACACATTAGTAAATCACAGAATATCACTGAATGGCATTTAATGAAAAAAATCAAACTCCAGGTATTCTAATTTGTTTCTTAACCGACTCTTAAAGGAAATTTGGAAATGAAGTAAAATTTCCCAAATATTGAAATTAAACAGTTCACTTAACTTTCATAGTATTAGAATCAAACCTTTTCCGTTAGCTGTAAAATTTCATGGGCATAAACAATAGAAGCTAGTTTGTTTTGTGTAAGAATGTTCTATTTTGTACTATTCTTCCATAGGAATTGCTTTTATTAGAGCTTTCGAAGAATGCTATGTTTCTCTATTCTTTTTTTAACTCATCCCGACAAGATTAAGTCTATTTCCTATCCGAGAGTCAATGAAACATCTGAAAATCATTATGCCTTAACCCACAGGTTTAACAATAGACAACACATTTTTCTGAAGCCATTTTTCATTCTGCTTTCGCCACACTGCAATTCGTACAAGAAACCTGAATATATTTAATTCTGACTCCTTTAAAAATATAACATTGTTTTAATATGATAAACCTTTGCTTACCACAAATTTTGCGAACTTACACGTATTTTTCTTGTTTCCTGTTAACGAAGAGATGCCTTCTTCTTGATCGCCTATTATATCGACGTGCTGTAATAATTCTTTTAACGGTTTTAGGGTTAATTATTATTGCAAAATGCGCTGCAGGTTTTACAGCATTAATATTTGAGTTTTGTTTGATTTTTCTTAGGTTAAATCTCTGATTCCCTGGTGTTACGTTGTAATATTGTTTAGACTTCAGAGCATTTTCAACAATTCCATGCAAATTTAATAATTTAATCGTTTTATAACATCAGAGATATTTGAAAGTTGTACATCAAGGATTTTTTGGGTATTTCAAATGCTTTTACATTCTTTAAAATGATGAATTTTTAAATTTCTAATTGAAGCTATCGTTAGTTTTTAGCGTCTTGGCATGTTCCCTTCAAATATGTAATAGTTGATATATTTTGCTAAAAAAGTAATTCTAAATACCGACGATAATTCTTGTAATTTATATTCATTTAAAGTAAAGCATTGTGACAAGAAACTTCATTTGCCGAAATATCTCCGAATCATTATGTTAGTTATCGACTGATGCACTTTGAATAAATTGTTTCATTGCAAAATTATTTTGATGAAATTTATTTTGTAACAAGCAAAGCTTAAAATATACTATATTCAAAAACAAATTTGGTGTCTATGTTTCAATAATTAGTGCAAGAATAATGCATATAAATTTCAAAAAATACAAGTGTCCTAAAACATATCCGAGACACTTTACTAATATTCTCATGAAGATTTATTACTTTAGATTTATTATCCAATAATCATATAAAAATTCATGAAATTAAAAGTATTCTTCATTTTGAATTCATGAAATTAATGTTACGAATTGTTTATGTATTAACATTGAAATCTGACTGCATTTTCAGAACACGATATAAGATTCAGTGAATAATATTTCCTTTTTGAAAAAATTTATACTGGTCAATATATTTCGTGACAATCTGCAAAGAAATATTAGTCAATCTATTAACATCAGAAATCTTTTTCTAAACTGATATTTTATTTTTTGTTAGTTACAGATGGTAACAGTTCGCTCTTTAATTTATGTATGGGCCCCTCAGTATGATCTCAAACTTTAAAATGAAATATCGTGGTCACTTTTTATTGTACGGGAGTCATAAGTTTTGTATTTTACTTTTTATAATAAGCATAAAATTTTCCTGAATAGAAGTACGTGGAAAAATTCGCATATCTTTTTACATTAACATATAAAAGTTAGACTTCCAAATTTTTGTAAACCTTGTCTTTTTAAAATTTAAAAACCCTAAACCATAAAAATCTGCATCATCTGAAATGTTTTTGTCTTTCGGTAGATAGTCTACAAACAGAAAATTAAGCTCGAGTAAGGATTTTCGTAGACAGGGTTATATTTTAATATTTGTAATGATAATGCACTGCTTAAAACATATTAGTAAGATTTATATTACTAAAATAGCATTATCTAACATAAAATAAGTCTCATATATGATGCATTTATCTTTGGTAGGTATGTATTAAACTATATGTTTTGTAAGGAAACACGAACCTTTGTGCAGTATATTTGCATTATTGAGGAAGGCGAGCTGAAAAAGAATTCGAAACAATAAAAAAATGTATTATTAAGTGTTACACAATAAGGGAGACCGGGAATAGTAATATTCTCTTCATCGTTTTTAAATATTTTTTCCTACTGCAAACATATACTTTTAAGAAATTTTTAGCTGACATATTGAAGTGTTTCTTCCTCACAGAATACGATATTTTTAATAAAGAATTAGTAGATATATTTCCGCGAATTTAAAATTTAAATTTTTTAAAAAGAAAGGATTTCATATTTTCATATCAAGTCTTTCTTTCGGGATACTAAATCCAGTTAAAAATTTTAAACGCTAGGTTTACCTATTTCATTACATAACAGTAATCAATAATTTAAAAAAATCTGAAAGGTTTTAACGGTCGCCCAAAAGGGTTTGTTAAAGTTTTCTACGCTCTCGCTGAGCTTGCAATCTACGAGTCTGCTCTTACACTCACTATCGCGAATTTTCTTTCCTTCTTTTTGTCTTTTTAGCTTTATTATTAAATCATTTTCTTCGCACTTGCGCCATATATAATTCAACTGCAAAATTAAACAAATTTTAAAAGCATTATAGTGTACGTTTAGAATCACCGATGCAGCGTTAAATGTTGGTATACATTTTCTGCTTCTTATTTTGAGTCTTTTCTCAGTTCATCATAACAATATTCAGTTTTTCTTACTAAGATGGCCTTCCAAAACCTTCTTATTTGTCCTCTTACGCCACATAAAATTCTTATTTGTCCTCTTACGCCACATAAAATCGAAAATTCAATTCAACAGCGAAATCACAAAATACTTAAAAACAGCCTATTTTTAGAATTTCCGATGGAGATACAAAGGTTTTATTCCGTACGGTGTTGCGATTGCTAGCTTTGAAGTCGTCGAGTTTGTTTGTTAATCAAATATTCGTTAAAATTTTACAAAACATGAAATAGATAATAAAAGAAATTCAAAATTCGTTGTTCCAGGTGCCATATTTGGGTGGATATGACGCCTGGAACTAGAGCCATCAAATTTTGAATAATTTATTATATATTCAAAATTTGATGGCTCTAGTTGCTTTTTCCCAAAGCAATGTAAGCAAACATACTTACATTTCGCAGATTTTTTATTATTTTATTTCTTTAAATATAATACAGGTAGATAATATTTGGTAGCTACAATTTGAAAAGTTAACAACGCATTTGAGTGTTTCGATGCAAATGCCTTTTTGGAGACTAATATCCTATTTGAAAGTAACATCCTATTTGGAACTAACATTGTTTAGGGGCTAATAAATCAATAACATTTAAAAGAAGCAATTGCTATTGCAATTTTAGTTTAAGTATCCCTAGAAGATAAGACTGTAAACATCTTTTTCGTTTAAATTCGCAAATTTTTATAAAATTTGTGAACACAACAAATAAGTAAAAAATTATGCAAAATATAAATTAAGAATATTATTTTATTTTTCAAATAAAAAACTAGGAGCTTACAACTTTACTAAAATAACAATAAGGGGAAGGCAATAATATTTAACAGATAATTTCAGTTCACTTTTCATCCAATTTAATCCACATAATAAGCATCTTTCCTTTCATTTAGAATGTAATAATTATAAAATCTCTCACATTCAACACTGTATTGAAATTCTGTCAATTAATTTTATTCACATTAAATTCCAATCAGTTGTGTTTTACATCTGTTATGTGAATTTAAATCTGCATTATTGTATAAAATTATTTCATGCAAAATTTGTTGCAGTTGATGGTAAAATGAAACTAACTGTGTCTTTATTGCATGGAAATTGTTTACGGTGATACTTGATCATCAAGATCCCAAAAGAAAGGGTCTAAATATCCTAAGTGTGGGTTTCAATAAGTCTACTTTTAAAATAAATTTAACAAATAATTATTAAAAATTTGAAATT